CTTGAGCCCTGGAATTGGAGGTTGCTGTGAGCTGTAATGCCATGGCACTCTGCCCAGGGGGACAGCTTGAGGCTCTGTCTAAAAAAAAAAAAAAAGAAAGTGGGGACAGAACTGAGAATCTCGAAACAGCCCTGGAAGGGACCTCCACTCTCATCCAGCTGAGTTCCCAAGGGCCTCAGCTTGCCAGAAGGAGAGTCTGGTTATGGGGGCATGGCTGTTGGCTCTGAAGCAGCCCCTGCCCCTCAGAGGGGAAACATGCAACCCTGTCGCCATCTTGCAGGGCACAGGTGGGGAAGGACATCCCTCTGCTGATCTGCCCAGCAGTTGACTCACTTCCCCTTTTAGGGGCCGGTCCCTGCCTCCCACCCTCTCCTCCACTCCCCTACTTCGTTCCACCTTGCAAAGAGTGGGTTGCAAAAGGGATGAATGGGTCAGGAACGCGCTCTGCAGCTGGGAACTGGGAACACAGCTGCGTTGGAACCTCCGCAGCCCCAGCAGGCCTTACTCACATGGTCCTTCTCTCCCTGGAGCCAGGGGTCACCTACCAGCCCCACGCTCATCCTCCCCACTCATGTAATTGACAGTGCAGGGGTACCCAGACTACCTGCCTCTGCGACCCTGGGCAAACGCCTACATGATGGTAGGCCCTGCTATCCTATCAAACGATCCTCTTCACGGGGAGAGGGGCCTCAGGGGCAGCCACCCGGAGGAAAGGGTTGGGGAAGTGGGGGAGACGGGACTCCAGAAGAGGATGCAGTGAGTGGGATCCCCGTAGGGGAGCTATGTGGGCCTGGCTCAAGTGACCTTGGAACATCTGGAGCCACCTCAGGTGCTACATGGGCTCAGAAAAATCGAAGCCAAGAAGTTCTGGACATCCGGCCCGCCTCTGAGCCAGTAAGGAAGGGCCTGAAGATCATACCTGTCGTACCATGCTGGGTCTCAACCTGCATGGTCTTCACGAGGGTATGCACAGGGACAAAGGACCCTGGTTCTGAGAGGGACAGTTCATTTCTTGGGGTGGAGGGGGAGGGGATATTGCCGGCCAACTGCCCTAACACAGATAACCATCTACTAGGTGGGGCAGACCACCTGGGAGCAGGGGTGCACAAGTAACCAAGAACTGTCCCCACCCCACCCCCACCCATGGGGGCAAAATAAGTATCCCAAGAGAACTGGAAAAGGCTACAGCAAGGGGAGGTGGGTGAGCAAGGGCCTTTCAGCCACCCAGGGCAGGACAGTGGGCATAATGAAGGAGGTGACCCCTGAGCAGGCACGCAGAACTTAAAGGAGACTCACAGGAGCCTCGGCAGTGGAAAAGATAGAAAAGGTCTGATGAAGTCTTAAGGGCATGGCCTGGCAGGATGAGCATCATCCACTTTGGGGTCTTGAATACCATCTGGACTCTGGCCATCCCCACCCCCACTGCAGCTGGAAAACTTACCCCACCACTTTCAGAGTCTACACTCTACCTTGGCTCCTCTTTGCTCACTAATACAGTAGCCCAAAAGCCCCACCAGAGCCACCTAGACTCCCGCAGGAGGAGGAAGAGGAAGCCTTTAGCTGGGCTAGGGTTTGAGGCCCTGCTGCCTAGCCCTTCTGTGCTCTCTATCACCCCTCAGGGTGGTCTCCCAGCTCCACAGGCACCCCGCAATCCCGTTTGTCAGCTCCTCTATCTAACTAACCCTAACTCTTTGTGCCAGATTTCCAAAATGCTTGTATCTTGTGTGTGTTGCTAGCATGACCCTGGCATGCAGTCAGTGCTTAAGACACATCTGTATAAAGAGAGAATGTACATACCTAGAAAATCAAGCTTGGGCTTCCAGCAGGAGGCACAGAAGATAAAGTATGCTTAGCATGTCATTTATCTGGTGCCCCCCAGTGCCCACATCACCACTCAGACTGGCAACTACCACACAGAACTATTGGTACACGGAGGTGAGGGGTGCACAGCTCCCATAAGGCCCCTGAGTGTGTATAACCTCAGTTCTAAAAACAGCCTTACGCCAGGGTGGCCCACCCAGCTGGCCTAACCTCTCCCTCCCCAGGAGGCCAGCTCCTCTGGTGGGTATCATCTGTTACCTCCCCACCCATCTGGGCCACCTTTATCAGGGACCCTGGGTGGGGGTGGTTATCACCCCTCACAACATTGGGGGAGCCCTCCCTCACCCATAAACTGGGGCACCTACAGTCAGTTCCAGCTGCTCTTGGCACCCTACAAGCTGGAGGAGGAGGGTGGGCAGTCCCTGCCCCTCAATAAGCTGCAGAGTCCTGAGTGTCAACCCACCAGCACTGCCAGCCTGACCCTAAAGGAGCCTGAAGCTCTGCCTGAGAGTGGAGGTGAGGATGCTCGACTTAGTGGGTGGGGAGATAAGAGGGGTGGGGTACAGGTGCCCCCCCACCCGGGCCTCTCTCCAGCAGAGTACCATGACAATCATCACCCCCATCCCAGGTTACTGGATCAGAAAACCAGGAGTCACCCTTAGTGTTCTCCTTCACTCCCAGTCCTCTCTCCCACCCAGTCTGTAGAACCACCTCTCCCCCTCCCAGGCCCCGCCCTACCCTCAACTCCTCTCAGATCATAATCCCTCTCCATAAACGGATTTTCCTCTGCAAAGCTGAGCCTGTCTCCAAACCCCTGCCCCCGCCTTTGGGATTAAGTTCAACCCTTCACCTTGCCAGACAGGCCCCCTCCCCACCCCAAAATCCATGCCCCAGCACCTACATGCTTCCTTCTCTGTATCCACTGCCCCCTGCCCTGCCCAGCCTGGTCTGCCTCAAGCCCCTTCCTCCAGGTAGCCTTTTTCCTCCCCCATCAGTATCTCTTCAGCCACCCTCAGTGCACACAGTCCCTGCATCCCCACACTGCCCTGGCAGGTGCTCACTAATATTTCCCAGACTTCAGTGAACAGGAATACTCCAGGAAACCATGGATGATGTCTGGGGACGTCTGTGGTTGTTATCTGTGGGGGCTGTTCCTGGCATGGGGTGGGTGGAGGCCAAGGATACTGCTCAGCACCCTGCAGTGCCCAGGACAGCTCCACCCCAGAAAATGATCTGGCCCCAAACAACATCTCAGCAATGCCAAGGGAGGAAGGGATCCTGCATTATTAGAAGACCCCTTCTGGGCCTGAGTGACCTCTCTGGGAAAGGGGTCAGTGCAGTAACTGCCCCCTCAGGAGGCACACAGCTGAGTGTGTGCTGGGCTCCAGGGACTCAGGGGATGGGGGGCCCACTGGGGATGGAGGTAGCTTGAAGAGCAAGGAGTAGACAGCCAGCCTCAGCTCTTGCTCCTGCTCCCGCTCCCGCCCCCGCCCCAAGGCTGGCTTGCTCACTCTCAGTAACCATAGCAACGGTGTCAACATCTCCCACAGCTTCCAAAGTCCTTCCCCGCCCCACGCAGGAGAGCATGGGCTGGGCTGGGCTGGGGGCTGGGGGCCAGACCCAGGGGACATGAGGTACAGCCCTGCTCCCTTGCCACTGGGGAAAAAAACCCTATCACCCCTCCTGGTCCCCACCCCCCTGGGGCAGGGGTGGCAAATGGGATAGAGTACCAGGCTCTCCACCGCAGGGCTCCTGCTCTGGTGCTTCAGTTTGCTCATCTGTAAAATGGAGCTAAGCCAGGACTACTGTTCCATTTACATAGAGGAAGAACAAGATCCCCAGTGCCTGTACACAATGGTTATGGCGCCAGTCCCATACATTGAGGGTGGTGGGTTTGAACCTGGCCTGGGCCACCTACACTGCAACAAAAAAATAGCCAAGCGTTGTGGCGGGCACCTGTAGTCCCAGCTACTTGGGAGGCTGAGGCAAGAGAATCGCTTAAGCCC